GCCTTCTCAATCATGCAATCTAAAGATACAATGTAAATATTATTCATACTCTGATAGTGACATTGACTGTGCTCTACTTGACAGGTGGATCTAATGATTACCTTAAGTTCATTGGCAATCATTATGTTTACTGTACTGAGCAAAGTTTAAGATAGTCATTAATTTATATGTCCAAATTTACAGGATTTAAAATTACTAAAATTCAAAAAAAAAAAAAAATTTATGAAACAAATTAATACAATTCTTCTCTTTCAGTATGAAAAACTAGTTCTCAACAAAGACCTCAAAACCGAGAAAAAAGAATTCACAACAGAAGGAAGAAAGATACCATTGACAGAGATAAGAAAGAAAATGCTTCAAAAACAAGAACCATATTTAAGAAAATTAACAGACCAGCAGTATGAAGCCTTCACAGAAGATCAGCTTAGGAGACGACTTAAAGAACTTCATGAATTGAATGAYGAGGAAGATTTGAGTATGAATGAAATGAGAAGCAAATTGAAGGAAATGGAAAGAAATAGATGTTTGCTTGTTTGGATGGACAATTCCACAGTAGCTAACCATGGCTATTTAGTTTGTATGATAACCTGTCTCTATGACCCAGCTGTATTCTACACAGACAATTCCAATTAGTTTAAGTTTAATTGGATGTTTTTTGGCTACCCCAAAATTCAAAGGTGACCATTGCAGCGGTTTCGGGTTAGGGCTGGACGGCGGGCAAAAGTGTTGCGTATTGTGAATGCTGCGAGAGAGGGAGAAAAAGAATGAAAAACAGGTTTTAATTGTAACCGAGCRCTATATTTCGCCATTACAAGGATAAGCATTAATCCGGAAAACACAAACAAATGTCCGTTCGTTCCGCCGTGCATTTTCATGTCCAATTAAAATTATAATAACAATAGGTGAGTGAGTTAAGATCAACATTGGTTCGACGTTTACCGCCACGTAGGCCATTAGCCGACCTTCCACCGAACATATGTTAAATAGGTTCGGTGCGACGTTAGTCCGACSTTTGCCCTGGGCCTAAAGCAAGCTGACGGCGAACTTTTTTCCAGTCGCCTTAGTTCAATACCGATTTAATGGCGAGCCTCACGAGGCGAAAACAGACCTCATGGGAATTCCAAAAGTGATATACCTGTAGAATAGTTGGCGATGATTGATTAAACCATTATTATTATAATATTATTATTATTATTATTAATTCGTTTGCCTGGTTTATGAGATGCCGACCTGCAATAAAGGTGGTGTATCCGAGAGCAACGAAGATAACTTAATACACTGCAATACAAAAGATTTGGTAAATTACCTTAATCATTAAACAARCTCATATCCATTTTGAAATCTTTCATTTTTGATCCCTCCTGGGATATTACAATAATCTTAAACTTAAATAAGCTTACTTATGCTTATTTCGGCCTCATTCACTAGGAATTTGATAACTAATGCAGTAAACAAGTTTTAAGCTGAGTTCAGACTCACATCTGTTATTCCCGATGAGATAATGATTCAAAACAAGCAAATTTTCACAATCTCTATCGTAGTAAACTTAATTGTGCTCAATCTCAATTGTTTTCAATTCTTGAATTTAATTTATTTGCATATCCAGGCCTAAGGTTTTAGTCAATAGAGTCAAAATCCCCCACCCTAAGACAACTTTAGATCGCTAGCCTCCTACACGAAACCATTTGCCCGACATCCCCTCTGGCTTAACATTGATAGGTTCATTTATGCATGAACAAACGACAATTACCTTTCGACGAAACACCCAACTGAATCAAGAAAAAATGTCTTGGCTCTTTATTATGGCTATTGCGGGATAGCACAAACATATTTATTACTAATTTTTTGACAGGATTAGACAATCTATTTTGACTTTAGAACTGCATACTTTCTTTCAGACAGTCAGGTTGTCTCTTCTGTGTCATGGGATACCTGTGTGCACGGGATCCCTGTGGTATTAAAGCAGGACAGAGCTCGCCATCTTAAATCGTTCTGACTTATTACATGGTGGCAGCCAAATCTCAAAATATCTTAGCCATCCTGACGAATGGAGACAGATATTGCTGAAAACTAGGTACCTCATATCTAGAAGAATCTTTTTGGACGTGTGTTTCGAAAAGATGTCACAGATAAAACCGCCAAAATCACTCGATTTTATGAAAGCAGAATTACAATGGCCAGACTGGAAAAAACGCTTCGAAAGGTACCGAATCGCCTCGAAACTATTCAAAGAGTCAGGTGAAATACAAGTAAACACGCTAGTCTACTCCCTTGGTCCTGAAAGTGAGCACATTATTTCTCAACTTGGCTTGTCCGAAGACGAAGAAAAGGATTACAAACTGGTCATCGAAAAGTTGGACGAGCACTTTGCCCCTAGAAGAAATGTCATTCACGAGAGAGCCATGTTTCATCAGAGATCACAACAAAGTGGTGAGTCAGCCGAATCGTTTATTCGTAGTCTGTACGAGATGGCCGAAACATGTGATTTTGGAGTTACAAAAGWTGATTGCATCCGAGATAGATTAGTGGTCGGAATAATGGATAAAGAGTTATCCAAACGTTTGCAACTGAAAGAAAAACTATATTGAGTGAAGCTGTTAAGATGATTCGTCAAGCAGAAAGTGTGAAGTCCCAGGTTTCTACACAAAAGGAGGCGCCAAAGTCACTGGAGGAAATCCGAGTTAAGCAAAAACCTAAGTTTGCAAGAAGGCCTTCGAGCCAGAGTCGCAACGAGAGTAGCGAGACCGACAAAACCCAAAAGTGTCACCGGTGTGGGCTGCAACATTTAACACAATGCCCAGCGAAGAATGCTGAATGCAACAAATGCCATAAAGT